GGGATTCAAGCAGCACTTTTCAAGTTTGTCAAAACACAAACTTACAATCTGTACAAATCGTATGTTGTGAAGTTTCCAGCTTATTGTTGTTATGTTGCATTTTTTGGTCAAGAATGACGGACGATAGGCCAACCTGGATACGTAATATAGGTGATTATCTTCTAAAGAGAATATAATCGATGAAAATAAGATAGCATACCTGTTCAATTAATTGAACTTCATATGAATTTATCACAATATTTCCGATATTTCCTTTTAAACTCCATTTTACGCATCTTTGAACATGCCGTCTTAGCCAAATTCTCTTTATACGACATGATCAAATTCAAAGTTACTTGATGTACACATATGACGTCATCAGTGGTAGATTTCAATCATAATGACTGTTACAGCCTAACAAAATAAAAGCATTTTATTTCGTTAATGTTTACACGTTTCTAATCATTTTCGAGAGTAAACTACCATCTCTAGATACCAAGATTACGAAACGTTGTTTTCTAAAATTGACGTCATCTTGCCTACTATGACGTCATAATGCAGCACTGATTTAGCAAAGGTAGAATATTTTGTATGCTTCTTTTTTCCCCTGGCATGGGCAGAAAAGCTTAAACCTATGTTGAAACATTCTTAGGTAGTGCAGATTCTAAATTGACTGCATTGATTGGCATGTATGCATTTAAAGATTAATTCATTGAAAAGATTTTTTCAAGCCCTTTCAAAAAAGATAAAAATATACAACCAATTGTTTTTAATGGGGAAAAACGGTGGGATAGGAGATACCTATAGAAGATCTAAGTACATACATGGTCAGAATTTAATGCCTTTGTATTGCGTCAATCTGTTGTATTTCTTGGTATTTCCCGATGTAAATAATAAAGACAGCAGAGAATCAACACTTATTTAAAAAAATAATAGAGAAAGTTTATGCATGTAAGCGTGACTGCCTCTTCCTTTGCCAGAGAGAGAGAGAGAGAGAGAGAGAGATTTTCGTGTCACTGGCATAGGTTGACCATTTCTTTCGAAGTTCTTCAACCGTTCTAGCGTGTCCCGAGGACACAGCATTCACCTTTTCACAAATCCCCTCCCAAACTCGTTTTTTTTGGAAACATTGGTTACAACATATGAATGTTTGCTAAAAAAATTATTTCCTCATTATTCTCCACATTATCCAAAAATATTTGCAGCTCCATTTCACTAAAGTTTGGGTTCATTTTTCTGCTCATTGCTGTAACGTGTGTACCTTGAAGTCTGAAACTACTACATTGTACAATGGATCTTATTCAAAGCCTATGAGTGAATGAGAATAATAGCGCTACGAAGCACGAGATTTTTTCACGGGATACTCTCTGAGAAAAAAAATACAAGTTTGTATTTAAAAAAATAATTTATATTCATATAACTAATTATCTAACAACTAGTGAAGTATGATATGGTATTTATAAAGTTTTTCAATACTTTTTCACAATGTAGATATTTCCATAATCACTATCACTTGAGAGAGAGAGGGGGGGGGGGAGAAGCATGAAAATGAAATTTTTCTCAAGATACTCCATCTCTTATCTTGCATAAAAACAGACAAAGTCCCCGGAATTGCTATTTATATATCTAATACAGGTAATATTTCATGTTAGAATATTTAAGAAACATCTTAAAAGTCTCCTAAGTCTATCCTATCTAGGACAGTCCTAAGAGAGCTTCTATGTCTATCTTAAGAAGTGTCTTAGGACCATCCTAAACTTTGTCTTAAGACTCCTCTTAAGTCATATCTTAAGACTATTCCTAAGAACTTTTCCATGGCATGCCTGCTGATATATAAATGTTTAAATGTACATAAGTGAGAGCTTAGCGTAAACGTACATATGTACATGTGCAGTTGTACCAGATTCATATTCTGTTGACACGGTTTACATGTATTAATAAAAAGCGCCATTATATTAATTTTTACTCAGGAAAGTAATTTTCTTGAACGATATGGTTCTTTAAAGCCGATTTCTTTGGACTTTTCTTTCGGCCGGTCTTCTACATGTAATTGTTTTTTTAAGATTTAAATATTTAATCGCGATTTTCGGATACACCGCAGATTGTAAGCTTAAGACATTAAATACAAATATTTAATTTATTGCGTAAATTTCTTCCGTAAAATAATTTAATACTTGTACATAAATTTATTTGGTACAAATGTATATTTTTTTAAAAATAATAATTCTATTTATAGAGTTTTATAAATTTATAATAGTTCCCGTAAGAAACGGTATATAATTTAGGAAATAACTATCTTCTAATTTGGTATTTGCGACCGTTAATGCTAATTTAACGGTCGCAAACTGAGTTTTACCGGTAAAGCGGATGTTTGCGACCGTTAAATCAGCATTAACGGTCGCAATTATCAAATTAGAAGATCAGATATTCCCATTATAATGCAATCCATGCATTTTGTTTGTTGTTTACATCTTATTTTGATGAATTTTATTGCATGAAATACGTCACGGAGGTTTGTGTTCTGCGTCGCTCTATTATGACGTCACAATGTAAAAGCTTCCTGCCTCGTTAATGCTCGTTTTACTCGAACGAGTCTAAAGGCAGCTCCCTGCACACCATGTGACCGTAATTATGACGTCACGTAACACTCAAAGCGAAAGTAAGAATAAATGCTTGTACGCATATAATTCGTGCAATCGCCTATTTACGCGAATGTTCAATGCTATTATATTTTATGCATTATTCAATGAAAAAAGCTAGAATAACAAAGATTTAAACGTTCTTAAAATTCAAACTGTACCAACGTTTTGTCTAATTGATTAAAATACCTAGTCTGATTGGGGGGGGGGGGGTTATATCGCTAGTGCTTATCATTAAACACAAAGGATGTACACATGCAACGAGAAAAACTCCTCATACCCCACTCCCACCCCAAAGCAAAGTAAACAGATGAACCAAAAAGTCTTCAGAACCCTATCTACACGGTGCATGTCAAGTTCCGTGATGCTTCTGCTTTTAGAGACATGATATCACAAAACCTTGACATTGTGAAGACTTCACATTTTGAAATGATAAAGAACTTTCAAGCCAAAACAGATTGTAAACTTGTTGTAGTCTATTGTTTTCCAAAAAAGACACCCCCCCCCCCATTTTAATTACTTCTGTCCAAACTGAATCATATTGCCTTTTCCGTATTGATTTCTTAATTATTCTTTATCATATATATTTATGATACATATTCTTCGTTTGAGCATTTTTTTTTTCTGATTTCATTCAAAGCATTCTAACATGTCTAATAAATCAATAAGTCAAACAAATGTATACTTTCTTTAATTTAATAAAAAAAAAAATAAATAAAAATACAGTACGTGTAGCATACGGTACATGAAAACATTATACTGCATTGTTGAAATCTAACTACTTTAATTATGTATTACTATTGTAATTCAAGGTAAGAACGTTATAAAACTAAAAGAACATCATCACAAATTGATAGGTGACAAATCACATTCACAAACCAGAGGCGAATCCAGCTTCTTTTTTTTTTAAGGGTCTTCCAGGTATGTGGGGGGGGGGTCTTTTACTTTTCAGTACATCTTTTTCTTTCAAATGCTGGAATTTGCATATTTTGACCCAGATCAGCAACAAAAAGCTGCCGTAAGGGAGCAGCGTCTGAACTAAATTTGTGTATTAAAAGTACACTCAACAAAAGATTGCTCTCAGAAAAAGTGAGCCTCCCCCTCCATATATTATGGGGGCCTTTTATACCTTTTGTCTTCATTGGCTAAAATACTTTCATACTACCGATATATGGAGAAAATATTTATCTTTAGCATACTCCTTATAATAACCTTTTTTGCATATTCCTGTAAGTAAGTTACTTTAGAAGAAAATGTTATAGCTTAAGTTTCGCCAGAATCTTCTGATGTTGAAATCTTGCATGTTTCTAATATTATGGTAATTAAGATCATTTTTCTTTCTAGAACTTCTACATAATAATCCTTCATGACATCCTTATAAGTTTCAAGTGACATTGTGTGGGCCCGGGGCCCGAGACCAAGGTAGTGAAGTTATAACGGGTATCTATTAGCAATAGGTAATACTCAGTACTCATTCTATAGTGAGCAGAAAAGGCCGAGATTTGGATACTTTATTTATTTTAACAAATTAAATATAAAAATACCCATTACAGAAAAACATATCTCTCCCGCCTCCCTCTCTCTCTCTCTCTCTGGAAAATAAGGAGGGAAGTCCAGTCTCTACCCTCTAGATCTGCCAATATGTACCATTAAAATGCAGTTAAGAATATGCAAAACAGAGGATAGATAGTTTCAGTCAACAGTCAAGATACAAACAGTAAAGGAGTTAATCACTATACTTTTAAAAGAACCAAAGTCTTTGTTATATTCCATGAAAGACAAGCCTTTTTTGCTGACTGGAGTGAGTCCTTTAATGGTTTAACAAGATTACACTGTTGTTTTTAATTTGGTGGTAAGTAGGATACTGATTGTTTTATTGTCAAAACTAGCAGGGGTCTCTGTCTGTATTTTCTACACCATAGAGAAGACTCCTTCACATTCAGCATTGGAGTTTGGTACAATATACTGTAAATCACTATATTTTCGCGACACCTTATTTTCGTAGTAGGTGTTGGCACGAAAAAGATCCCTCACTGCTCAATTGCTATGAGAGCTGAGTATAGGACAAAATTTGCAGCTCTCCACCAGCAAGTGGTAACGTCTCCATATGAGTGAAACATTCTTGAGAGGGATGTTTAACAATGTTTGATCAATCAATCGTAACTGGAAACATTGGTGTCTAGGTGATGTTATTTCTTTTGTCCAGAATCCTATCCCATGCAGTAGACATCTCCTCTTGTGTCTTCCATAAAACCTGGGAGGTCCACAGCAGGAGTTGCTTGGTAGTCCATGAATTTGTCTTTCCTTTGTTCCCATTGATCTTAGGGCACTAGGGAAGTGAATCTCTGTGCTAGCACTGTAGTACGGTTAGGGCAGTTGGGGATAGATCTCATCCATTTGCTGGATTTAGGAAGCCAAGGCTGGAAACCACCATATCCTTGAAAAGAAATTTGACCAGCATCTTTGATGTGACTGCATGGTGGAATTTTCTTACTGCCCTAAAAAACATTTTTAGAAGTCATTTATCAACAAAAAATAAATAAAAATGTCAAGCAAATAAATTGGCCCAAAATGATATTCTTTTATTAATCTCAAGTTAACAAGGAATCTGCAATACAAACCTCTGTAGTGATGATGATTGATTTTCATCCTCATGGTCCACCATGTAGGCTCTTGTCATTACATCAGTGGAAATGATGTTGTCATTCAGCTGGGAGTTGCTGTCTTTGGATGGCACAGTTGTGGGGTCCTTGGTCGACTTTATGATCATTGCCTAAACAAACTTCTCCAGGGACTTCCTCAACAAAGTCAACATCTCCTTCAAGTACCCAATCTTAACTTCATCAACTTGATAAAAGACAACAATGTTTAAATATCAATATCTCCAATAGGCATTTTTAAAAATTTAATTTAAAAGTACATTTATATGAACAATAATTATATAAAACATTCAGATGTTCAAAGTTTGATCTGGAAAATGGTGTTAAATTCGTTTAGTGGATGAAGAATGAAACTTGGGAAGCTGATTTACATATACATGTACATGGTTCTTGTCATTAATATAGGATGTACATCGCTTCACCTGTCCTGGTTTCTCAACATTGTCATGGGAACTGAAGTAACTCTGCAACCATCCATGAAAATGGTGTAAAAGACAACACAATTTTCTAAGCTTCGTCATCTTGTACTTGAATGCTTCAGGGTCTCCAATGATTCGATGTTGGTGAATTCTATGAAGTCCTTATATATCTCGTTTCTGTTCGAGCTAAATAAAAAGGGATAATGTTATTAGTACCATAAACGATTTAAAGAAAAACAAATATTAAAACTAGAAATATGTCCATAGGACATGAATGCCCTGCCAAGGATATTCATGTATTAGTAATGCAACATGAAAATTTGTATTAGTTGTATGAAAATTAATCAGAATATCTTGAATAGTGATGCAGTTAAATATGTACATGTATCAGCATATAAAGTTTGACACTAATTTCTTTAAAGTGAGGTCAAGGTCAAAGGAAATGCCAAGGTCAACTAAAACAATGTTGATGTAGTTTAAAATCTCTCATCAATATGTATCAGCTTATGAAGTTGAAAAAAATATTATAAATGGTTTCTTTTAGTATATATCAGCATATTATGTTTGACACTGATTTAGGAAAAGTGAGGTCAAAGGTCAAAGGAAAGTTCAAGTTCAAAAATGTTGAATATCTCTCATCAGTATACAAAATCAGCAAATGAAGTTTGATTAAACTAGAGGTACTGTGAGCAATGAGCTCACTAAATGATACCTCCCGCCTCCCATATGGTTATAACTGGTGAAAAAGTCCATGTTTTCTTGTGGCCGGGAAACCCAAAATATTATCGGATCAAAAAGTAAAATAGGAGGTGCACAATGGCAATATGTAATAAAGATTCTGTGAAATTTTCATCAAATTTCATTCAGTGGTATAAGAGGAGTTACGGATAAGAGATGGGTACCCCAAAGCGTAAAAGACGGACGGACAGACAGACGGACGGACGGACGGACGGAATTAACGATTACTATATACCCTCCCGCTTTTCAAGGAGGTCTTCAACTGGCAGGGCAATTAACTTGACTGCAGTTTGATAGATATATTACAGGGAGACAACTTGTTACACGTTGATGGCTGGATGATACACAGGAGAACTTGGAGGAATTTTGCTGTCGGGAAACAAAAAATTACGAAGCAATCTGCCACAAGGAAAGGGAACAAAACCTCAGTCCACAACACATCTGCAACAAAGAAATTACTTTTTAAATACAGGAGGGGATCCAGGAATTTTTTTCAGGGAGTGTCCACCTTAGTCAAAAGCAAAAAAAACAAACTTTTTTCCAGATGTGAAAAACCTACCCGGTATTTTGTGGGTGGGGTGGGGAGTTGTTGAATATTGACTTTTAAAGCTTCATACCTATGACTTTCCATACCATTTTCACATAAATCCTTGTTTTCTAGGAGGGATCCTAATTGTCTAAAGGGGTCACTTTTACTTGGTTTAGTATATACATTTAATAGCTCTGCAAATTTGGTATGTGTGTAGGGTGTGTGTCTCTGGACCCCCTTCCCTTGAACACATGATATTAAGTTATTAACAAAGTCAATGCATGCAGCTTATACTGTAGTCCTTAGTTATTGATATCAATTAAGTTTGTAATTCTAAACATTTGAAAATTATATGTTGCTATTTTCTTACATTAATGTTGAACATGAGTTGCATATAACAGAGAAAATCTCCATATTTCATTTCAAATGTTCCATTCATAAACTCGACTACAGAAGGAGAGAATAAAGAAGAACTGGCCAGGGATTTCAGATGGATATTGTCCTTCAAACCATGCCATGTATTCTTCCACTGGAGGTAGCCAGCATGGCACATTGGTTTAGAGCATCTGCTTTATTTAGACTAACAGAGTAAAGAATTTATGGGTTCAAATCCCACTGTGGGACATGATGACACCATATACATGTAAATAAAGTTCTGTGTCGCAGTAGGTGCTGGCAGGAAAAAGATCCCTGACTGCTCAGCGGTGATGTATCAATATGAGTGAAAAATTCTTGAAGTGTCTTTAAACAAACCACTTCCATATCAATAAGACTATTAGTGCAGGGTTGTCACATCTCTCAAAGTGTCAAGCATCCTTTGTGACTATAAAATATTGATGTTTCTGGTATCTCTTTAATGATTCAAATATTACTCTTAATTTATCAATGTTCATAACCAAGAAAACTTGATAAACTAGAGGTACTGTGAGCAATGAGCTCACTAAATAATACCCCACCTCCCATATGAACATGGTGATTCAGAATATAATGGCAGTGACCATGTTTTGCTATGGGAAACCCAAAATATGTGACTGTTGGATCATAAAGTAAAATAGGTGGTGCACAATATGTAATAAAGATTCTCTGAAAGTCTTGTCAAATTTCATTCAGTGGTATATGAGAGGAGTTGCAGATAAGAGATGGGTACCCCAAAGCGTTACAGACAGACAGACGGACGGATGGACAGACGTTACAGCTAAATGACCCCACAAACACTATTTACCCTTCCACTTTTCAAGCCGGGGGTACAATAAGTCAAATCTTGTACAACAGGTGAAAGACATAGATATAATCAATTTTACTAAAGTATCGTACATGTGACTTACCCCATGTTTATGTGTTGATACTTGAAGAAACTGGTCATATTAAATGACAACTTAGGAGGTACTATTAGTTACATAATTTTTGAGTGACAGTGTATGGGATGATACCTGGTTAGTAAATTTCATACCTGGTAAGGCGGAGCCACATCAGGTATGAAATTTACTAAGCAGGTATCATCCCATACCCTGTCACTCAAAAACTATGTAACAAATTTACCCCACCAATGAAACATTTAGTACATATTATCTGTGGTTTATATATGTTTTTCTCTGCTACATGCTTCATCACCCTTAAACTGTGCCTGTTATGATGTCACATTGTGTTTGTTACATAATATTTACATTTCCAATGTCTTTGTCCGAGATAAAATTACCAATTGTAAATGTAATTGATTTCCTCATGAATGTCTTGGCGCGGTTCCAAAAAAACCACGTGCAGGGCGGGACAACACCCAGAGAGAAGCAGGCTTGGAGCCCGTGGATTGGCGGAATCAAAGCATGTAAATATAAAGAATAACTGTCAGATTTTTCGAATTCATGAAGATGATCAATGGATTGGCTTGTGTGATAACTTTATGCATAAACGCCTTCGGCGTTTATGCAAATTATCACACAAGCCAATCCATTGATCACTTCATGAATTCGAAAAATAAGACAGTTATTCCTTAAATACATTGACTGTGTATTGATTTACAATTGACGGGGTATAAGTAATCCACCTCCTTCATGTGACAGACTTCAACCAATCATAAGATTGAAGAATCTTCGAAACATCTACGGAGATGCATGGGGTTAAAATATTATATGGGGTAACTATTACAAACAAGAACATTTCTGGGAGAATATATCCTTTTAAAAATAAATTTAGTAACATTTCTTAAAACCCTCTGGTTGTACATGTTGTTACAGTAGTCATAATTAAAAATAGCTGCAGAACTGTAGCTCTCTGAGACAATTAAATTAAATGCATTTTGCCCAACAAACATGACAGACCAACTCGCTGCAGCTATGTGCATGCAGACATTAACTAGAGGTACTGTGAGCGATGAGCTCACTAAATGATACCCCCCGCCTTCCATATGGTTATAACTGGTGAAAAAGTCCATGTTTTCCTGTGGCCGGGAAACCCAAAATATGCGTCGGATCAAAAAGTAAAATAGGAGGTGCACAATGGCAATATGTAATAAAGATTCTGTGAAAGTTGCATCAAATTTCATTCAGTGGTATGAGAGGAGTTGCGGATAAGAGATGGGTACCCCAAAGCGTAACAGACGGACGGACAGACAGACGGACGGACGGACAGACGTACAGACGGACGGAATTAACGATCACTATATACCCTCCCGCTTTTCAAGCGGGGGGTATAATTATGGGAGAAGTTGACAGAAATGAAATCTAGCTTTTGTACAATTGAGGAAAGAATTTAGAGAATTTAATCCACAATCAAGCATAAGTTTTTGTGCTCGACTAGCTCTTATTAGCATGACTTCTGTGATGCACCATTTACTGCACATAAAATGATAATTAACCAATAATATTATATGGGGTAACTTTTACAGTAACATGTGTTACATGAACATTTCTGCATAAGTAACATTGTGTTTCTTTTTATTTTTTATGGATATTTAAAGAGTATTATTGAATACTGGCAATATTTACTATTTAGTAATTATAGCCTGTATGTATACATGTTAAAAACAGCTGATCATAAGCTTTGTACAGGTCCAGCACAATGTCTTGATTAAGCTATTTAGCTTTATAAAGCTATATAGCTTTATTAAGCTACTTAAAATAGCTTAATAAAGCTATTTATATGCAGTTTCTAACAAAAACGTTTTTAGTGAGAAATAAAAAAAAAAGTCGCAAGCATTTGACTATTCATATATGTACTTTGGGCTATCAAAAGAACAACCTAAATCATAGAAAGTTCTAACATTGCTGTTGTTGAATACTTTTAAGCAAAAGATGAATTTCCATTGTTTGGGGAACTGTACTAAGGGAGAGTGTCCTACTGAGTGCGGTGAGGCGTGGATAAGTATGATTACCACACATTGTGTTGAACTGTTACTAATCAATTATCCTGTTGGCCATAACTGACCTCCTTTATAATTTCACTCAAGAAATAACTGTGTGGTCACTCATCAATAGCCCCAAAACTTTAAAAAAAATTGAGTACAAAGTCGCTCAAGGAGACACAATTTGGTGAGTGATTTTTACATGCATTGTATTCAGAAGAGTTCAAAGTTTAATATTTCCATTGCACCAAGGTGCGACTTTTTGCACATGCTGAAAAAATAAAACATTTGAGAAAAAATTGTGATAAAATAGCTTAATTAAGCTATTCCGAATAGCTTAATAAAGCTATATAGCTAAATCAAGCTATATAGCTTAATCAAGACATTGTGCTGGACCTGTTGTACTGTTTTAAGTACAATTTAATGAGCTTAATGTACTGGTTGTACTGAACCTGATACATTGAGTAAAATAACATAATGCAGATATGAATGATGTGTATTCATCACTGCTTCGATAGCTATATCAACAGATCAAACTATTTTTTTTCTTCAAATTACTGTCTAACACATCTTTAAACTAACATCTTTTGCGCAAGAAAGGATTAAATGGAATCTATTTTCGATAAGAAACAAGAAAGGCTATATTTATGACCTACATGAGACATAAAATTAAAATTCAATTAAAAAGGAACTTACCACAGCGAAAATATTCAACACAATCCTGCGTGCGAAGTGTTTTCTTTTTCACAATCCAAAGTGAAAGCGAAAGTCTCAATGCGCATGCGCGAATGTGTAGCAGGGAGCTGCCGAAAGTTGAATCTGTTTTACTCCTTCAAACAGCAGTGCATTAGCCAATCAAAAGGTGCTTTACAAAATAATTGCATTAGAATAAATGTATGTAAGGGATTTTTGTGCAACAATTACATGTATGTGAAAATTTCCATAATTAAAGTAGACATAGTTCAACCTAAAGATGAGAATTTCAACATTTACACATATAATCGTAAATCCACACCCTTGAGTAGAAATTTAAAAAAAAAAATACAGTCTCCAATTCATAATAATCCATTTAATCATTGTCAAAAAATAAACATAAATAAACGACTTTTGTAAAATTACCATTGGTCTCAATTTTTTTAGATATAATAATAAAATGAAGTTTATAATTTAGATATGGAGCTTTGGAAGTATTTAAATTAAAATATTGCAGTAACTAAACAAAATACTCTTTTCGTCTTGTCAGAAAACGTCTGCATTTTGAAACAATCCTATCAGGTTTTGCGTTTATCCTATCGTGAAGATCGTTTATAAGGTCTATCCTGTTTTTCGTTTATCGTGTTTTGTGTGTATCGTGTTTTGCGTTTATCGTGTTTTGCGTTTATCCTATCGTGCGTGTATCCTATCGTGCGTGTATCCTGTCCCATCGTGCGTGTATCCTATCGTATCGTGAGTGCATCCTATCGTATCGTTTTTCCTGTCAAGAATAACGATGCGGTAACTGTAAGTTCCCTCAATAAAAATTAAACCATTCTTACTTGGTGTTTCATAAGAAATATTTTTATATACAATAGATGAATATGGAACCATTTATTTTGACAAAAACGTCATTGTCCATGATCTTTTTGGACAACCCTCGTATATTCTTCTTCAATATACCCGCTCTAATAACAGAGGATTCTGTAACATTAAATCTGTCTGATATGCTGTTAATGATATCTTGGATTGCCAAATACCAAAGGCTAATCAACAAGTAGTTATCTATTAGTCCACCCTGGTTGTAACTGTTGAAAGTGGGCAAGATTTGTACATAAACATTCAAATGTTGCTCTGGAAATCCGAAAGAAACGTCGGAATCATCTAGATTTTAGAAGGGTTCCGTTTCCTCCACGTACAATTCTAATTTTGTTTTATTATTCCTTGCGTAGAACAGGTCAATGGGGCGCGACCCAAAACATCACACGTGGGAACAGGTGCTATGGAAGAGTGAGCATCCCTTTTGAATGTTTAGCTGATATATCGGAGGCGCCAAAATACAGAGAAAATAGCATAATACACTGACATACTTTTGAAGGGTTAATTCTTAATAGTCTAGATTGAAACAAAAAAGATAACATCAATAAAAAGTTTTCATTACTGTGAAATTTTATCAGGAAAAATATTTGTAAGAAAGTTTTTTTTTTTTGATAAGAAGAAGTAAGTGATTATAAATAATCCCGTAAATAAAGGTGTTGAATGTTGATACTGTCAAAACACAACTATATGTCTATTGACATCTATTGTTCTACACATTAAAATGCAAGCTGATCTAAAGTTCAGAAAGATGATAACTACTTAAAGGTTATTAATTTTGAGTAATATCTAAGCTCATACCTATAAATGATATTACTACCCTTTTAATTGGTTTTGATTTGAATTTCAATCTAAAATTTAAAGGATATGTATTCAGTTTAAATTTCATGGATAGATTTATTTTCCTTTTGAAAGATTTAATTAGAAATGCCATATGTGTTGGGTTGATTAAGATATATCGTAAAAAATTAAGACTTTTGATTTTATTTTTAGATTAAGGATCTTGTTGGCATAAATTCTTTAAAAATTCTAATGTATAATGAAAGAATGTTGAACAATACTTAATAATTTTATAGGAGTTAAAATGTATTGCTACATATGCATAAAATGAATGAAAATCGTTCGATTGATCACATAACAATAGCTGCCTTCTAGAGAAAATCTCAATTTTGTCAAATATCTGTAGCAAATAATTTATTTCTGAATGTTTAAATAAGGCCACACCAATTCAATATCTTGGTCGCCGGACCCGCGCGCACGTAATTTATAACTTTCCAAAAAATAATATTAAAAAAGATTTCCCGCATCCGGAATGTTTTGTTCCGTTTTCCGCATCATTTTCGACTCTTACTTTTTTTTCTCCAAGTCACCGTTGCGTTTTAAATCAAGGCTTTCAAAAACACAAGTGTCTATATTCCTGAATTACATTGACTGTATCACAAATCTTTGGCGCCGGATTGTCAGTATTCATTACTATTCTAGCAGGAATATATTTAAGAATGCCTGTGCTTGTCATGTGGTAAAACTTAGTGATCAGGAAGGAGGAGTTATTATGAAAAACATTGTTACAAATTTTACAAGAGGAACTTCTTCGAACTGTTTGAAAAATGTGTTTACTGTTTATTCGAAAGACACTGATTCGGTCGTTGAAATACGCTTACGTGAAAACCAACAAGCCTAATTCTTTCTTGCAGACAATGCTGATTTCGATGTTTCTGAAATATCTACTACACTTTCATGTTAGTTTGTGCAATTAAACAAAACTCAAAACTTACAATAACTTTGTATCTTTGTTTAAAGCATCTTTTGTATATAAAATGATGCATTAAACTATCATACAGAAGTGTTTGTTACAGGCCTAATGAAATAGATATTATAAAAAATTAAGAAGCAGTGATATTAAGTCAAATGAAATGTCAATTGCATTCCTTTTCACTATTTTCCTGTAAGTGTAAGGGCATAACTTTGTAAAAACTTATTTGAATCTGACATTTTATAAAACATTTAATAGGTGTTTGGTCAAAACAAAGATGATAGAAAAACAGGGAAGTGTTTAAGACCAAGAAAGTTGGAGATACTGTAGTATTGTATGTGGAGAGTGGTCAAAACACAGATGTGTCTACACAGTGAAAGAAGGTAAGTAGAAGGGATGGTTAAGTAGAAGGGATGGTTTATTACCTATTTATGGTTTGAATTGCAGGTTTAGATAACTACAAGCTATAATTCATTTTAGATTGATATATTGTGAGCAGTGATATTAAGTCAAATGAAATGTCAATTGCATTCCTTTTCACTATTTTCCTGTAAGTGTAAGGGCATAACTTTGTAAAAACTTATTTGAATCTGACATTTTATAAAACATTTAATAGGTGTTTGGTCAAGACAAAGATGATAGAAAATCAGGGAAGTGTTTAAGACCAAGAAAGTTGGAGATACTGTAGTATTGTATGTGGAGAGTGGTCAAAACACAGATGTGTCTACACAGTGAAAGAAGGTAAGTAGAAGGGATGGTTAAGTAGAAGGGATGGTTTATTACCTATTTATGGTTTGAATTGCAGGTTTAGATAACTACAAGCTATAATTCATTTTAGATTGATATATTGTGAGACTGCTTTTTCATAATGGAAAGTTGCTGTACTTATAGGAGGAGCTATTTATTCGTTTAAAAGAGGATCATAAGTATACCTGGTACCAGAGGACACAGAGGATCCAGGAATAGTAGTAAAGGAGGCCACAAACTGCACAATTATTTTTCAACTACTTTAATGCACTACCTTTTACCTGTGTGTGTGTGTCCAATGCTAAAGTACTGAAAATCTTCTGGATGATACAGACCCTTATATTTCTGCTCTTTATGAACAATATTCAGTTATTCAAGCTTTATTTCAACTTGCAAAGATTTGAATTGTGAAAATATTCACAGAGACCTAGAACTTGGGGGAAAAATATTCTGCCCAAGAGGTGTAAAAGATAAAATGTCCAGGGATTAATATAGGGCATATTTACTACCAATATTGGGTGTTTTTCCCCTAGAGAAAATTTCCCCTGAAGATCTAATTTTCCCCCTTTCGTGAGAAAATATATTCCTTAAAATCAAACCTCAAATGTTTTTTTTTCCTTCATAGAGACTGAAAATTTGAAGTAAAATTTTTCAGTATATGAGAAATATGGTTTTAATTTGCTACTTTATGCACTTTAAATGGTCATAAAAATGCTGAAATTCGATTTCTTCCCCAGCAGGACCTGCCCTGCACTCGCTCGAGTGGTTCCCAGACCCCAACTGATTTTCCCAATATCTCCAGAAAGGGTAGTTTCCCCAAAAACCTAGATTAATCCCTGAATGTTGTGAATTGGACATTTACATGATGTATGATTCCTACTTGAATCACTATGAATTTAAAAAAACAGGTTTTTAAAAAATAAAATATTATCGCTCGCCTCTTTTCAACTTACACCGCTCCTCAGTTTTTAAGTATCAGCTTTTTAATTTTAAAATTTTCAAATCGCTCGCTCGCCCCATTTTTTTCTTTCAAAAATCCGAAGACCAAGAAATTAAATTGATGTGGCCTAAAGCGAAAGTTAATGCTAACCCCAACTAAGAGATTTGTATGGAGTTTAAACTACTTTGACAACATCTTTAATTTGAAATATAAAAAAAAAAAAAACAGATCCCTCAGACATTTAATGGGACAATCAAATGAGGCGGGGCACTATGAGAAGAATTAGAGAGGCCCTAGGGAGTTTTGTTATGACGGATATAATTTATTGATTTAAGACAGATGATACAAACATAAAAAGGATGAGTGGATAGGTATATATTTTGGGCCTAATTTATTGCAAATGATGCAAATAATAATTTTCTAGAATATAAAGAAATTATAAACCTTCTGTGATGTTCAAAAGTCTACCCTTATGAAACCATCTTTATTAATCTATACAAATATTTTTCACTTAAAATTCCATTTTTATGGAAATTTGAATAAAAAATGAAAGACTTCGCGGTGAAAGTTATTAATTTTATTCATTTAAACATGACTCAAGTTTTTATTTCAAATTCTTTGACAAAAGTTTGTATCATCTGTCCTTAATTGGCCAACAATGAAAGTTTAGCTAATTCTTTTGTTTTTAGTGGAATGCTTTTTTATTTGATATCATTTTTAAAATGGTAAAACATAAATAAAAATATCGGATCATTAATTAATAATACGAGAAAGATATTGTTGCCAATCCTTACGGTTTAAATAAAAAA